CAAGTATTGCAATGACAAAAACTATTCATCTGATTTTGATTCTTTTTCCTGGACTATATGAGACTGACACATTTTATACATTGCTGGTGAAAGCTTTGGTAATAGTTCATCATACGTTTCAGGCTAACTAAGTTCTAGAAGTATTTTTTCATTTACCGGTACCTGTTTTTTTTTCTGACTGAGATGGAGTATGCTATTTATTCTCTTCCTCATTATATCCACCTTCTTCATTCTCATTATCATCTGAATCAGGAGATGCATATTGGGATTTGGAAGGTATTAGAGGAGGAAAGTATCGATATATTGAATTTGATTTAGTTACGGGTTTTTTTGTTATCAAGCATCATCTTCCCGAATTGAGATGTTATTTGACCGATTTTATCTATTTTCGATTCTATTCTATCTATTCTAGCATTTTGATTTGATGAATACAATCGTTCTGGTTTAGTTGGTATGGGAGAAGGGAAAGCTTTATCTAACCACTGTAGTGCTTCTTCTCTACTAATATCTTTCTATCTAGGATTACCTTGACCTTCATAGAATTCTTGCATTTGTTTATAATCTTTGGGTAGAACTGGAGAGCAAGATTTTTTGGATTGTTGAGTCATTTTTGTTTCAAATTCAGCTTTCAATTTTTCAATCTTGGCTTTCTGTTTTTCAATCTCAGCTTTGGATTCAGTCTTCTGTTTTTCCATCATAGCTTGGAAGGATTTTTGTATTTTATCATATGAGGTGAATACAGGTTGCGATATAATACTATCATTTTGTTTCGCTGATAATTTTTTCTTTGGTTGTGCTTGATCGAAATTTTGCCCTTCATTTAAACTAGAACGTTCGAGCCACATATTTTTTAATATAGTGAAAAATTCATTAATACCTGCTATATTTTTATTTCTCATCCAACTATAAAGCTCAAGATCTCCTGATAAATGAATCTTAAAAGTCCCTAAAATATAGGCATCATTATTTGCTACACCTAATATAAGTAGATAGATTCTGGCTTCATACGTATCTGGTGTATCATAAGATTGGAATCTTTCTTGACTCAATCTCTGAATAGCTAAATTCTTAGTTCCAATTGTTTCTCGTTAATATTTTTCATTTAACCATGCTCATATTGTATCTGGACTATCGATATTAACTGCAGGATTTACAAAGTTATTTTGAGCTGGTACTGGAGCATATTTTCCTGCCATCTTACTCTTTATAATTTTACATTTGCACCTTCAAGAGCTATCATATTTGGTATAGCAGGAGCTCATGCTTGTATAATCATATCACAGTAATCATTAGGGGGCATTTGACCAAAATATTGAAGAATCAGATTTAAAAAAGTAGATACATATTTCAATGTAGGTAAACGTCTTGCTTCCGCCATATTTAGTAGATTATTCTGTAGCAATAAATTTTGTTGCTGTAAATTCAAAATTATTTGCTGTGAATTATGCTCTCTATTTTTCCATTTAATATGGCTTGCTTTTCGGTTTTTTCATTTATTGTAATATCTATCATAAATCCGGTCTCGATTATATTCACAAAGACCTAAGTCGGCCTGGCATTGTTGCAATTGTTGCCATGCTTGGTCTTGCTCTTGCATATATTGATCACGCTCTTGCATATAATAATAAGAGTTCCATTGCTCATTTACAAGATTCTGTTGCAGATTGGCAAACTTTTGACAAATTGATCTTGTTGCTCTTTTTATTTGGTTTGACAAAATCATTCTACTTAATACTGTATTAATTAGATAGTCATCTATAGTATCGACCAATTCAGCTATTGTGCCTATATTATCAGAATTATACAAGTCTAGAGAATTTTCATCAGAATCAGATTCATTTTCGCCAAAATTCCATGCCTGTGCATTTTGTAAAGCCTCTTGTGTATTTCTAAGCTCTAATCTATCTCGATATCTTAATAATGCTAATGCAAAATTTTGACAAAGCAGGTCTGTAATACGATTTTTTTGCTGATTTATTTTATTAATCCTATTTATTTGATTAACCCTTATTGTATTTATTTCTTATTTAAGGTGTTCGTTTTCGTTTACTAATCTGGTTGTATAATCTTGTGCTTTAGGCGTATTTTCAGCCGATTTAGATATCTCTTGTATTTGGGTTTTTAATTTTGTTTCGCGTTCATCGAATTCTGATATTAATCTATCTTTATTGGAAATTTCTTTGTCTTTCCTTTTATTTTCTTCTTCGAGTTGGTGAACGATTCTTTTTAATTTTGAAATTTCTTCTATTAATTTTTTTTTCTCTTGTGTAGAGAGTTCAATAGCATTATTTAACTTCTCTTCAAGAAATCATATTCTCTCTTCCCGTATACCTATAACCCTTTCTAAGGTATATAGTTGCTGTTCGAAATTTCTATTTGATTCTGCTAATTGTGATATCACCTCATAGAGTTCTTGGTTAGTCTCGTCTATTGTTTTTTATTACTATAATAAAACAAAGGAATGGAGAAACCTGTAATTTATATTGACCCACAAAGGGCCCATGATTTGAATAGGGAGATTACTTTGCAAAAAATTTATTATAGGCCTGAAGGTTATTATCGAACAGCTGAAAAAATACGGGATGCTTGTAAGAAGGCAGGATATAAGTTCACTTTGGCTATAATAAAAAATTAGCTTAACAAACAGGCCTTATATCAGATCCATAAGCCTCAGCCAAAATTTATCCAATATGCTTCTTTTAATAGTATACATGATTTAAATGAAATACATCAATCCGATACTACTCCCATGCTCTATGATAAAATTGGCAATTGAATTTACAAGCACAGAGGAGTAATAAAAGATGTAGCAACTAGATTCCGTAAAAGTTATACTTTAACTAATAAGTCATCGATATCATTAGCTAAAATGTTTACGAAAATTTATGGTGATCCGAATTGCCCCCTTACCTGGCCTAAAGTTTTAATTGTAGATAAAGGTACTGAATACTTAGGTGAGTGCAAAGATTTATTACTTAGCCATGGTGTAAAAATTCAGTATGCTGTAACTAAGGAAGGTGTTGCTATCGCTAAGCGTGATCATCAAGAATTTAAAAAACATGCTTTTTATAGACAAGATGCTGTAGATTTTCGTTTATCATTAACTGAGAAATGTAGAGCTTGGGTTAAAGGCCTTCGTATAAATGATGATACTTTTAATAATACTGTTACTGGATTAATACATATGACTCCTAATGAGGCTGTAAAAAAAGCATTAAAAGGTAAAAAAATATTTGCAAAGCCAGCAGTAAAACATAGAAGACCTGTTGGATTTGAAGAACCACGTTTGTCTTATAAAGATTTTGTTCAATATTTACTTAAACCTGGTGAATTAGAATATGGTCCACCTATAAGATGGATTACAGATAAAAATTGGTCTCCTCAGGTTTATCAGATTGAAAGTACTTTAATTCATGAAGGTCAACCTGTTATGTATAAATTAGAAGGTGGACCAGAAAAAAATTTTGTTCGTGAGCAATTACAATTGATTAAGAAAGTTGAACTTTCTCCCACGTGGGTGCTTAAATAATAATTTACTCATCTATAAATATATCCTCAATAGCTTTTTCAATTTCTGTTTTACTTATAAGCCAATCCTTTTTGAATAGCTCATAATAAAGATTATATAAATCTTCTATACTAGTAAGTAGTTCCTTTTTACCTTGATATCATTTTCTATAT